GCCCGCCTCTGCCCAGGGCCAGCCCAAGTTGCCAGAAACTCAGGATGCTTTGCAGCAGCAGCCTCCCTCCCCCTCTTCCCGCTGTTGCCTCTCATAGACGCAGCAGAGGGGAGGAAGGTAGGTGGCACCATAGAGACAGTGCTGGGAGAACTGGCTTTTAAGCCAGAGCCCCCCAGCACCAGCTCCTGTCTCCCAGTTTGCTGCCTCTCTGCCCAGGGCCAGCCCAAGTTGCCAGAAACTCAGGATGCTTTGCAGCAGCAGCCTCCCTCCCCCTCTTCCCGCTGTTGCCTCTCATAGACGCAGCAGAGGGGAGGAAGGTAGGTGGCACCATAGAGACAGTGCTGGGAGAACTGGCTTTTAAGCCAGAGCCCCCCAGCACCAGCTCCTGTCTCCCAGTTTGCTGCCTCTGCTACAGAAGCAGGAAGGAGGGGAGAACTGAGTAGTCTTGTACTCCACAATATGCGTACGCCCCTAGCCTGGATACCTATGTTAGGGAAAGGTCTTAGGAAGAAGCCCAGTACATCAGCGAGTCTATGTCCAATGGGAGGCAGCTTGAAGCTCCAGGCAGAGCACTTGCAGGCTAAGTGCTGCGCTTACAGTTGGCATTAGCCCTGCAGACTGACTAGAGGCGATTCCCTCCCCTAATTCAAGACAAGGGGGGAAGGAGGGGAGACCTTCCCGCAGGGAAATGGGGGGAGGGGCACTGCAAGGGTTGCTAGATGGTTTCAACAAAACTATGGGACACACTGGACATTACATCACAATCTACATCACACCCTATTTAGAAAATACGGGACCGAACAGAAAGCTCAAATACGGGACTGTCCCATTCAAAGCCGGACACCTGGTAACCCCAGGCACTGGCTGGAGGGGGATAAAGGAGCTAGGCGCCCCAAAGGCTTGCTATTAAAGCAGCTGTGAGCCGCACATGCGGAGGCTCCGCCCCCCGCGCAGTACGTTTCGCGGCAGGCCAGGCAGGTGGCCGCGGAGTGTCAGGCTAGGATGGATCTTGCGCTCTCCCAACCCCTGTAGGGGGCGGGGGCGGTGCGGGGGCGGCTCACTCGCATCCGGGGATCTCGGCTCCGCTCAGGCGTCTCCCCTCGGTGAGTTGCACCGCGGCGGCGCGCACGTTCCCCTCCTCCCTCGACCCCACGCCGCGCACGCGGAGCGCGCACGTTGCTGACGCTCCTGCCGGCTGCCGTCGCGTAAGCGCTGGGTCCCGCCGCCTGCGCGAGACGCGGCTCAGGAGGGGAAGGCGGAAGTTGGTTCCCAAACAGCCGCTGAGGGCCGGAGAGCGCTGAGCTGCCTCCCCGAGCCTCCCCCGCCGGCCGGGCCTGAGGAGCCGCCGTCATGTCCAACATGGAGAGTATCCTTTGGGCTGAAGGGCAATACCCGGCGGGGAGGAGTCGCGGGCAGGGCCCCCGGGTGTCTGCAGTCCCTACCCCCCACAGGGGTCCTAGCAAGGGAAGACACCCCAACCCTGGGGGGAGGCCTCGCCAGGAGTGGGCCCGCCGGGGATGGTGAGGGGCCCCTCCCTGGGAGAACTCCCTCAGGGGAGGGGCCCCGTCGGGAGGGGGCTGCCCATTCCTCCCTGGGAGTGACGCTGCCGTTGAGCGACACATCAAACCCCTTTCCTCACCAGACCAGCGACGGGCAGGCACTGAGCGCTGCTGTTGGCTAGAATGTCAGTCTCCTCCACCTCGGGGATGGGCTGGCAGGATTGCAGGGAGCGGCCTGAGCCATGTGACACTTTCTAGGATCGCACAGCCCAGTGTTTTATTTCAGTTCAGTGTGAAAGCACAGTATTCATTCAAGCCTTGACAGGGGCTCAGACCATCTCCCTTTACCACATCAGGCCTGTTGGAGACGTGTCACAGTGGGGATGTCATAGCAAGTTTCATCCAGTTTTATTTTGATCTTGGGCTATGTGGGAAAGTGGAAGAGTCTGGAATGATGCATAATAGAAACTGGTAGTTTCCTTCTTGTAAGACCCGATGAAGGCAATAGCTGAAGTATAAATTGATCATCTTATGTTAGTACCATAACAGAAATTGTGTATTATTCTGTTCTTAGATACAGAGTATACATGGAAACAAGTGAATTATTCCAGTTTTGCAAGGAAAATAAACATGCTAAATGGGAGAAGGGAGGATTTCTTTTGTCATAAGAGAGCGAACTTCTTTGGGATTTTTCTTGTATTCATGAATGATACAAGCATTGCTGCCAAAACCTAGCTTCCCAAATGGGGGTAACATCTAGTTACTGCTGCAGAGAC